CTTTAAATATAAAAACGTACTTACAGTCTGTGAGTCAGAACAGCTGGACTCACAGCACACACACAAATATTTGGGTTGAACTGTTCTGGAACAGTGTTGTAAATACAACTTAACCACTGATTTCTAGTCGTGTCCATTTTTGGAAGAACAAACAAAGTAGTTTCGCTTTCACAACGAAACACACAGCGCCTTCACGACATGGCGGCAGCAACAATACTACAGCGAGAATAAAAGTTACGCCTTCTTTCTTTGCGTGAACATTTGGGCGGCGTTATGCAAATCTTCCCACATAGTGATGTAGACATGTGGGGGCGTGTTAGAACGAGCCGTTTTAGGTAGGCGTGGTTGACTCTTAACTTTTATAAAGAATATCTCTTTGGATTTGAGACTTTAGTCTTTGCAACTTTACAGATCTTCTTTATGCACCAAGAGCTTGTAACACTCCAAAGAGAAAGGAAAACTTGAAATCGCATCATATGACCCCTTTAAAAGTCTGTGAAAGTGATTTTGTGCCTCTTTGGGATGTTGGTTCACTTGCAGAACGCAAGCTTCTAGAGGCACATAATCTGAAGTAATGAATTTAGGTAAAGGGGTGCAGAGCCAGTGGTGGTTTTGTAGGCAAACATCAATGCCTTGAATTTTATGCGAGCAGCTATTGGTAGCTATATGTGGAGAATAATGCACGACACTCAGTTCACTTTTTTTTTTTAAACTGGCATATATCATGTTTTTTTTTGCAAATGAACTCTTCAAATGTAAATGTCCACGTAGATGTGCAGTAATGAAGCAGCAGAGAGTAAAATCTCACTCACTTGCCCTGGAAGCCGTAATACTGTCCCAGAATCCTCTTGTATTGTTCATGAGCGCAGAACTGGATGGCAGCGTATGGAATGACGCGCACCATCGTGGCCGAGTTTCCCCTCCACAGACTGAAGAAGCCATCCTTCAGATACGTGCGGTAAATTAACCTGTACGCCTCCTGGAAACCACAAACATCCCAGAATAAAACAGAATTTTTGTGTTTTGTTGTGCAATCCAATTCGATACCATTTAAACATCACACGCATTTAAAATAATACACAAAACCACTGACACATTACATCAGATAAATATTCACAAAGATGGAGAAAATACTCACCTTAGCAGAGAATCTATTCGACGACACTAAAATGAGAAGATAAAGAGAAATATTCATAGAGTTTCAGCAGCTAAAGACTAAATGAAACTTTCCAGCACTAGCCTATATAAAATATGGATTCCTATGCAACAATTATTGTGCAACTACAAGGTTTATTACTTTACAAACAATGAAAAAATACATAAATACAATTTATACATCAGCTTTAAACAGGATACCAGCTTTAAATTGTAAATTTACGCCCAATTTTAGTGTGAAGTCACGAAAACCACCCCCCCCCAAAAAATCACCCTAGACCCAATATGAGTTTAAAACATTTAAAAAAAAAATGTTTTAAATCTCTTTTTGTTATGTTTTAACCATTCAATATGACTATACACTAATAATACTAATAATTTATTATTGTTATTGTTTTAATTTAAATATTTATAGTATTAAGTAATTAAACAAAACAATAAAATACATTACAATAGTAATATTACTATTGCAATATTATTATTATTATTAGTGCTTTTATTCTAGCAGGAATCCACTGGGAGATCTAAAAGCTGTTATTTTGTTGACAACAGATTTATAAATGATTCTTATTACAAATTTGGAAAAAGATTATGTCAGACGTGACCCAAACTCACTGGATCTAAACAAATCACACAAATGACCTATTTGGGGTGCAAAGGTGACAAGTTTGCATCCTTGTTAAGTTCACACAGGTGTGCTAGCAGAGAACCACAGGTGAGGAGAATCACATGAACTGATCCCCTGAGTGTTTAAATACTTCAGCGCATCTGTAAGTCAGTCAGGGAAGGTTTACAAGAGTTCTTGTTCTTGCCTTGGAAGATAATCTTGGTTCGGTCCAGCGGGGCGACGGCTGTTTTGGCCACGGCTCCTGCAAACGCCCCCGAGAGCAGAGAGTTCAAGACCGAGCGACCCTGTTTAAAACCCTGCGCACACACAGAGAGATCACACATTAGTTCTGATTCATGAGGATTTCCACACAGAAACAAATAAATGCAGCAGTCCATGTCTTCTAATAGATAACAGACACACCCAGTGTTAAGGCTGTAACATGTCCAGGCGCGAGCACATACTGTGGTTTCTGAGAAACACTCGAGCTCTCCCTCTAATCTTTAGAAAGCAGAACAGGTTTCTATTCACACTTCTACAAACCCTTGTCCTGAATGATTGTCCGAACACGAGTAAAGCAGGAACACTGGGTTGAGTTCAACTCATCAGGTCCCAGCATGCTAAACAACTGAAAACTACAGACTAGTCTTCTGTTTGAGCGGCACTTAGTCACTTTGATACAAATTAATTTGCCCTCTTAAATCACAATAATCACAAGCCATATTGCGATTTCAGTTTTATTTCTATTAATTGTGTAGACCTTATACAGACACAAACAGCTCATGTGAATGTTCATTAAACACTAAAATGTATGATGGGTTTTACTGTAAATGGGCAACTCACATGGAAATAAAAACAAAGAAACATCATGCAAAATGATGAATGATAATCATCATACTAACTATAATAACAGCTCACTGAAATAGAAAATGACTCAGTCTAATTTTAAAAGTCTGGCATTAGCTTCAAATCATCCCACGCATCTTCAAAATCATTAAATTAAAAATAAAATGAAAATATTCATTCATATATATATAGTCACATTATAACACTCGCAAGTGTCTTATTGTCATTATAAAACAGTAACTACATAATACAAATATTAAAGACACAAATTTGCTTTAAAAATTAATTTCATATGAGCTGTCCAGTGATATGCACACCGGCTGCCAGGATTATTATAACTAACGGAAACAAAATTTTATTTCTTGAAATAAAATAAATGTTAACTGAAATAAAAATAAAATGCATACATTTTTATTACTTATTTTATTTCAGCTAGTTGCTGAAAAGGAACATTTCTCATTTCATTTAACTTGATGCACTAAATTAGCTCAAACTAAAATAAAAAATAATTAAAAAATAAATAGAATATAAATTAAAAAGAAAATGCAAAGTGTTAAAAAAAAAAAACAACTAAAAATGAATTAAAAAAATATTATATGTAATATTATAGCGTTATAGGTTACAATATTACATTACAAATATTATATGTAATATAGTGGGACTCTATAGCACCATTTTAAGAAAACAGATCAAGGAAAAAATATTGGAGTCATTTGGAGTTAAGACCATCAGACGAGGGAAGGAACTTTCTTCCAACAGACATTTGATCCTAAGATCACAGAGGGAAAAATGAACCCATGACTGAACCCGGAAATTAGATCACGACGGCAAGCATTTTCCACTGATAAAATGGTAAACAGCTTTTAGAGTTCTTCCTAGCATGCCATCTTGATCTCATCTGTGAGTAATGCACTGGTAATTTGACTTCCTGTAGACTGGAAACACTGAGACGCTTCCCAAACACTGGTCTTCTGTTCTTCCTGCTGCATGAATGAAGGCCAGCCTAACCTCACAAACCGGTTTTTACATCTGCATTCTTTAACAACACAGTGATTGTCCACTGATATGGTGCAACAGTCCTGTCATCATTTACTTGCCCTCAAGTCATACCCAGATGATCACAAATTATCTTTGTGCTCCTAAATAAAGTTATACGGTTTTAAAATAACATAAGGATGAGTAAATAACGACAGGATTTTCTTCAAACTTTCTTGAAATAATTCAGTTGGAAAGGAACAGTGCAATCTCATTGGCTGTTCTCTGCTGTGGGCGGGTTCAGAAGGGAGTATTCTCACCTCTGATTGGCTGGAGGCGGGGCGTGGCAGCACTTCGCCCTTTGTCAGCGCCCCCTGGTGTTCTGCGTTCCCCATGCCAACATCCATTCATACACGCCAGCGCGACACGCAAACACACACACACTCACAACCAAACCTGGAACGACAAGAGAGAAATATTAGAAAGAAAGCAACACCATATCATATAACACTGCCAAACACATCACAGAGATATTTTAAAATCTGCAAAGACGTCTTCTAGATAAGAGATGGACCTCACAAAACATGTCAAGAACAAGTCTAGCTCTTATTTCACCCAGAAACGACATAAAAAATGGAAAAAGTATATTTAGATTTATAAAAAAAATATATAATTTTTTTATTATTTATAAATATATATATACAGTGCACAGCATAAATGAGTACACCCCCTCTGATTAAATATAAAATATGTATTTTCTTAATGATCACTAATATAATTCATAGAAAGATGGCAAAATTGAAATGTATTAAACATATTCTTAATAAAAACATGCCATTAATATCTGTAAAATAAGAAACTTAGCCAATTTTGTTTAAATGAAGGATTGCAGAATTGAGTATAACCTAGATTTAATTCAACCAAGTGTAATATTCTAGAACTTAATATGTCCTCCATAACTCTAAGTACACTGCTCTGACACTTCTCGGCACTGAGCGTACAAGTTCATGACAAATGTTCACATCTGTGCTGTTTAACTCCTGGAGGACGACCTCCTTAAATGCCCTGGTCTTTAATGGGGAGTGTTGCTCAGCTCGTCTCTACAGAATCTCTCACAGCAGCTCA